GCTGTGTTGCTGTTTTCATCCTCACCGCTGCCCTCTACACGGGTTGGCTGGGGGATGCTGAGAACTGTAGTCCCCAAAGGGACCTTTCCAAGATTCTGGGAAGGAGGGGGGACAGAGGGCAGCCTTTCCGCAAAAGGGGAGAGCGAGAAAGGGATCAACTCCAAGCCACCTTGCTCTCCAGCTTCCCACTTCCAGAGCGTGATCCTCTCCGGGCTACTCCCAACCACATGGGAGCGCCGAAGCTCTGGGCTGAGATTTTTTCAGACCAGATTGATTTGTTTTTCAAGAGTAAGCCTGGCCGTGTCTTCTGTCCAGCTGGTCATTCCACTTTCCGATTGCAAGAGATATGATGTCGTCATGAAACAGATCCTGCCTTCCTGAGTGTTTGCCAAAGTTTCCAAAGCAAAGCAATGCAAAAGAGCGCATTTGACCTCAGAAAATGCAAAACAGAGAGAAAGGCAAGTTCACGGAGGATAAATCTATCAATGGCTGCTGTGGGTGGTTTTAGACGATCCGCGGCCCCAAGTTTCTCCCCGCCCACCGAGATCTCCAGACAGACAGACAGACAGACAGACCCATACCTGTCCAAGCACCTCTCCCTTCCCTCGGCCAAGACCGATTCATCTGCACCACGTCTGCCCTGTTGGGCTCAGAGCTCCAAGAGCCCAGATAGGAAGAATTCCTGTGCCTGATCTGCCAGGAGGAAAGACTGGGCACACCACATCGGGCCAAAGTGAATGGGAAGAGGAAGGAAGGAGACGGAGGGACGAGCAAGCAGGAAGGAGAAAAGCAAGGAAGAGGGTGGTCTTGTGGTCAAGGAGAGGAAGGGGAGGCCAGCTGCAGCCTTCCCCGCCCCCTCCCCTCCACCCCAGGGGGCTCCAACTGAAAGGGCCCCCCTGGCCCACACAGGGCCTTGCGCTGGCATGAGAGACCCTCGGCCCTGGCAGCTCTGCTCCTGGAGACGACAGAGGGGCCCTGCTGTGCTGGTACCCAGGAAAGGGGCTTCCTTTCACAGACCGGTGCTGGATTCACTCGGGTGCTTCTGCTCACCAGGGATTCCAGATCCTCGGGGGGTTGTCTCCAAACACCGGGTTAAAACTTGGCCCTGAGCCCACGACGGAAAGAAACCCCCTGAGCTCCTCTGAGAGACTGGCAAGAAGCATTGGGATGCTTTCCCCCCCCCCTCCCTCCCTCCCTCGGGAAGGCCAGTGGCTCACGGGGAGTCCTGGCTCTGAGGATCTCTCATTGATGATAATCGGAAGGAGTTTTTCGCCAGCTTCACCTTCTGCCGGCACCCAGATGTTCGTTCCATGGGCTTCATGGCAAGCTTCTCCTCCTGCCCCGCGTTCTCCCTGGGGAAAGCCAAGGCAGGCCAGGTGAGGCTTTTTAGGCCAAAGCACCAGCTTAACTGGAGCCCCCCCCTCGCATGGATTAGATCTGAGTGTGGCCCTTGTCTCCCCTCCCATCACGAGGGGATGTCCAGTGGGACCCAGGGCCATTTACCTGGCCTTTAGAAAGCCAGGTTTTCGCATCCTGTCCCCCTCCCTGAAAGGAACAGGAAGGGGGGAGCCAAGCAAGAGGTCGGGACGTCAAAGATTCTTCCCTCAACCCCATGTAACCCAGTCCATGCGGACTCTGATGAGTGGGGACCCAGGGCAGTTCCTGAGCTCAGTTACCTAACATGATACTGGTGGGGGGGGGGGGGGGAGAGAGAGAGAGAGAAGCCCAGCCTTCTCTCAGCAGCCCCTGCAGTTTCCAAACGGCCAGCCAAGGTCAAGAGAAGCTCCAACAAGGGGAAATTCAGGAGCGAATAGGTTACGATGAGGGTCAGACCAAGAGGCAATTATGCAGCGGTGAAGAGCAGTTCAAGGAAAGGGAGATGAATCATCGTTTGGGCTCTGCAGGTCACATCCCAGTGGCCACAAAAGGAGAGGCCAGACCTCCACCGCGAGGTTGTGGCATCGCCTGAGCCAAAGGGCGATCCCGTAGCAGCCCCGGCTTGCCCTCGTCCCTACGCCCTGCTGTGGTACCAACCCCTCCCTTTGCGCCTTTTGTCTGCCCGAGGAAGTCTGGCCTCTTCCAAGGGTTGAGCAAGGGACGGGGGGGGCTGTCCTTCCACCCCTCCCTGTCTCACCAAGAGAAACCCGGATCAACTGGGCATCGGAGTCTTCTTGACCGAGCTCCGAATGGGTGCATATACCTTTGCAACCACCTAGGGAGGGGGAAGAAAGGTGGCAGAGAAGGGAAACACAGAGGAAAGAAATGCAAGAAATAGAAGCAACCACCATGACTTTGACCAAAACTCCAGGAGGCCATGGAGGACAGGAAGGCCTGGCGTGCTCTGGTCCACGAGGTCACGAAGAGTCGGACACGACTAAACGACTAAACAACAACAAAAGAGGGGGAAGAGGTTAATTCCAAATCTATTTCTTGCATTTCTTTCCTTGGCGTTTCCTTTCTGTGCCCGCTTTCTTCCAGCGTAGGGACCCACAGCTGTTCAAATCATTCTGGCCCTTTTTGGTGCTAAGCCAGAATTTTTCCTCTGCTACTTAGGGGCTTCTCCTTTTTTCAAGTCAGAACAGTTTGAATGGATGGTTGTTGTGGTTTTTTTTGGGCTCTTTGGCCGTGTTCTTAAGGTTTTTCTTCGTCCTAACCTTTTGCCAGACTCTGTGGCCATGGGCATCTTCAGAGGACAGGAGTAGGAACTCTGTGCTCTGGCTCATTTTGTTTGAGAGTTAAGTGTTTATCGCTGTGGGATCAGCTTTTGTCCTTTTCATGACTTTCCCCCCTGTATGATCAATCAGTTCTCTCTTTTTGCAGAAGGAGGCGGGGGGGGTATCTGGGTGGTGTTTAGGTGACATTGGCAGTTGGGGTGTGGTGGTCAGGGAGGGTGTGAAACCCCTCCCCCACAATCTGTCTTCCAAACATGTTCAAGTGTTTAATCTTCTTGTCAATAAGTGAATTTAGTGGAGTGGCATTAATTTACTACAGTACTTCAGTGCTCCACCACCTCTGCAAAAATTTTTTTAAGAAAGCAAACCATAAACGGATCTGCAGAGATTTGAACAGACAAAGGAAGGGGGGTGGTATGTGCCGAAATGTGGATTGCCCCATGAGAAGTCAGGGTGGACACTGGCTCCGAATCCGTCCGTGGCCCCTGAGTGACCACTCAAAGCGAATGGAAGCAGAAGATCAGCAGCCAATCAAGCTGTTAAATTTGGGGTGATTCGGCTTGTCCACCTCAGTCACAGCCTACAATGACTCCTCGCCTGCCGGCCCAGCCGAAACCCGAAAGGACTTTGCCTGAAAGACCGCAGGAAGACAGCTTCCCAAAGAAGACCATGCCTCAAACGGAGCAGACCCCCAAGAAGGCCCTGCCCAGCTGGCCTGTGAGGACGGCAGGACTGAGAGACTGGCCTCCCCCAAAGGCCCTCAAGCCCATGGCACTGCATGGGGGGGGGCAACGAAGTCTTTCCAGGGAGATGAAGGGGATTCCAGTTGGGAGAGAGAAGGACTGTCCCAACTTGCCCTCTGCTATCGATGGTGGGCAGGGGGTCGTTTTCACAGCCAGTGCATGTGGCTGGTTCCAGCCCTGCATCTTCCCAGGGAGCCAGAAGCCCCCTCCCCGGTTCCCTCCGGGGGCTTGGGCACCCACCCTCCAACCCAGGGGCTGTAAGGAGGCTGAGCCATTCCCTCTGCTCCCCGTCCAGGGCCCCAGGCGGCGGCTGGGGGTCACGTTTTCACGCCGGTCCCTGCGGCTTGCCCCGCAGGCAGGCGGCTGGCTGGGAAGGTCCAAACCACAATGACATCAGCAGGTGTCTTTGCTCAGGGCGCGGCCGAGGCGATGGCAAGCAAACAGTCCCGGCCCTGACCTCACGGTTGACCTCACTGATCGAAATGGCTCAAGAACAGGCTAGGAAGGTGAGAAACCTGCCAAGCGCCCTCTGAGCCTGCCTCCGTCTTGAAGAAAGAGGACGAGTCGCTCTGGGGCTAGAGAACGTCTCGAGGGATGGGTCCGAGTCTCCGCTCATTCACAAAACTCAGTGGAGATCTTGGGCCAGGGCCAGTCTGTCGGCCTGACCTTCCTCACGGGTCTCTTTTGGGGGGAAAAGGAAAGCCACGGATGCTCGCTGGATTAATAAAGGCAGGGAATAACTCAAGGCACCCCACGCCAGCAACACCTGCCTCAAGAAGGTCCACTCCAACCTGCAGGTTGACCAGGATCGGAGAGCCCAGCCGGTGCCACCGATGGTCAAAAGCTCCAGAACGACACCCGGCTAGTCTGGAGGGGCAAGGACCCCTTCCAAAGCCCAAATACAAGGACCCCGAGATGGGCTCGCCAGCGCAGCTCAGCTCAGCCAGGAGTGGGAATTCCTCGCCCGCCTTCGGTCTCCATCCGCCTCGGACCAGGGCCTTCAGAGGGCAGAACCTTTCCTCTGGGCTGGGCTCCCCAACAGCGGGCACCGAGAGTGTGCAGGGGAGTCACCCAGCAGTTGCTCCCAAGCGATGGGGCTGGATGCCTCTCACCATCTTTAAAGCTGTGCCCCCTCCGGTAGGAAGTGGGGCAGGAAGCAAGGGGCAAGGTTGATCTGCCACTGATCGTGGGGAGCTTGCCTGCCCCCCTCCCAAGCCTCAGACTGGAGCCGGAGCAAGGCCCAACCATATTGCCCGCCCCCTCGCCCTCCCCACCCCACTGCGTGTTCTGCTGGGATGGTTCTTCCTCCTCCGAGACCCCCTCAGCCGGCCAGCACCTCCTCTCTTCTGCCTGGGACTGGTGCGCAGCTTGCAAGAAAGAGAGCAGGAGCGGAGGAAGAGGTTGCCCGGCCAGGCCGGCTAAGTGGAAGGCTGGGAGGCTCCCAGGGCCCCCGCTTTCTTCTGAAGCGGCCGTTTCCTGGTTTGCATCAATGCCAGCCATGATACCTGATCCGCTCAGGTTGTGCAATCCCCGACGAGGAAGGATTCCAGCTCAGCTGGCTCTCTATTCATCACCAGGGAGCCGGTCCGCTTCCTCCTTCTGTCCCTCCCTCTCTCGGCCAGCCACACCTGGGAGAGCTTAAAGTGTGGTCTGGGGCAGGCTGAGCCCCACAGAGTCTTCCTCCGCCTCCTTCTCCTCCTCCTCCTCCTCTTCGTCGTCCTTGCACCATGAAGCTCAGGAAGAGCAGCAACAGCAGCAGCAGCAGCTGTCCACTTTGCCTCCTCTCCCTCGTGGGGCTCCTCGTCTTTGGCACTCAGCTGCTGAGCACCTCTGGACAGAACGCCACAGGTGGGTGTGCGAGAGGGCCACCCCCGCCCAGGAGGGCCTCCGTTGGGCAGCCTTGCTCGTCCACAGCCCTCTCCCCAAAGGCATCTCCTGGCCTCCTCTGGCCCTTGCCAGCTGCACCTGGTGGGCGCTGGACTCTCGGGGCACCAGGAGGGCAAGCAGGTTGCCTTCCTCTGCCCCAGGCCCTGTGGTTTGGCAGCCCCCTCCCCTCCCGAAAGGCCCACGCCTGCCTCCTTCCCCTTCAGCTTCTCTCGAGGCGACAAAGGGGGAATTTGGGACATGAGGTGGGGCCTCAAGAGCTGGCGTCTCCTCTTTGCCTTTTCCAGCGGCTACAGAAAAAGCGGGCACATGTCCCGGCAACACACGGGGGGAGACCAAGAGTGGGAACTGCACAGAAGAATGCCAGTCGGATGCCAGCTGCACGGAGAACCAGAAGTGCTGCCCAACAGGCTGCGGGATGTCTTGTCAAGTCCCGGATGGTAAAGCTGGCCCTCCGCCACGCGTCGCCGACCTCTGTCATTCTCCTGGCCCTTCTTCGCTTCTCTCCAGGGTGTGAGCCCCAAACGCTTTTCATCAGTCTGACAAGAGCATGCCGGGCACTGGGAGTGTAGAGAGGCATGGAGCAGGGGTGAGCCGGTGGCTGTGGGGAGGGAGCCTGGAATGCCATCGCCCCCCCCAGTTGCCCAGTTGCCTGCACCTGCCAGCGACCGAGAGTGCCTTCACACCGTGTAAGTTTAAGCCTGGTGTGCAAAGAGCGGCTTCATGGGGCCCAACCCTCACTGTCCTTGTGGGCCACACAGGTGCAGGATACCCAGTGGCTGGGGGGGGGGAGGCTCCTCTAACCCCACCACCACTGTCTCTGCTCTGCGGTGCACCAGAAAGCCAGGCTGGCTTGGCGGGCTGAAGGAGAGACCCACCCCAAGGGAGCTTCTGGACCAGGTTTCCTGAGAGAAGGTCCCAGTGGAGTCTCCTCCAACTTGCTGTTCCTTGGGTTTGGTTTTCCCCACCTTTTTTTCATGCCAGAAGAAATCCATGGTGGGGAAATGTTGGAAATGGATGCATTTGGCCCTTTTTTTGGGGGGGGGGAATAGCATCCCTCCGCTTGGAAGCTCCCTGGAGCTCTGCAGGGCAACTGATGCTTTGCCAACGTAGCAGAGTCTCATGGCTTCACCCTGAGGGGCAGGCATTGTTGTTGTTGTTGTTTAGTCATTCAGTTGTGTCCGACTCTTCGTGACCCCATGGACCAGAGCACACCAGGCCCTCCTGTCTTCCACTGCCTCCCGGAGTTGGGTCAGATTCATGTTGGTTGCTTCGGTGACACTGTCCAACCATCTCATCCTCTGTAGTCCCCTTCTCTCCTCTTGCCTTCACTCTTTTCCAACATCAGAGTCTCTTCTAGGGAGTCTTCTCTTCTCTTGAGATGGCCAAAGTATTGAGGGGGAGGCATTCGGTCCCTGCAAAGGGCCACCAGGGCCGTGGAGCTGCAGGTGTGAGTGGATGGGTCTGGTACCCACAGGTGGGGGGGGAGGGCCTGCCGTGGGATTGAAACAGGGTTGAAAAAAAAGGGTCAAGGAGGAATAACAGTGTCTGAGAAGTTACCTTATTTAAAGAGATGACCGGGAGGAGGACATGACAAAGGTGTCCAAAATTCTGTATTCTGTGGATACGGGGAAGTGTTTTATCACTGCAGGAGGCTGTTCTTGAGGCTGTTCACCTCCAGACTTCCCATCCTGTCTTTCTCCTTGGCGTATCGGAAAGGGACTGAAGATCAAATATCCCCCAACTCAAGTTCCTTTGTTTTCCTAAACTGAAGATGGTGGGGATGGATGGCGGGACTGCTTGGAGGTAAAACGCAGGCTCTTTGGTGGCGAGGCAGGCCGCCCTCCTCTGGGGACCTTCGCTCTCCTCGCTCGTTTGAACTGCCCTGGTTGAGAACGGCGCTCATGGCCGGAGCCCCGTGCCTCTCCTGTGGGTCTCAGCCTAAGGGATGACATGAGCTTCTCTCGTTCACTGATTAAATCTGTGCGGAAAGGAACCGCAGGAGTCTTAAAGAAAGAAAAGCAAACATTTCTTGTTGTCAAACGGCATGTGTTTGCTTTATGAATGGCAAGAGCCAGCTTAGAAGAGGCCTTCTTCGGGGAGAGCGTATAAGCAGCAGTTGTATAAACACTGAGATGAAGCGTAACGGAGTCTTCAAAAGAAAATGTGATTCCCAATCGGTTGGGGTAGCTGCCTCCTTTGACTGCAGCATTTATAACCAAAGGTCTTTGGGTACCTGGAAGATTCTTACATTCCGTCAAGTTGCTTTTAGTTTATGGCAACCCTATTAATTAGCAGCCTCCAGAAAGCTCCACCATTAGCAGCCACGCTTAACTCTCGCCTTCAGCTTTCCCCAGCATTATTTCCTTTTCCCGATACGTCTTGTCTTCTCATGACGCCCGAGTACACTCGCCTCCATTGAGTTCTGGCAAGATTGGATCTAGGAGCGACTTGTCTGTCTTTCTGGCCACCCAGCGCATCCGCAAGGCTGTCCTCCAGCACTGCGGGTCGAACCTGTTCCTGTAGGCCTTCCTCGCTGTCTGGCTTTCGCATCCATAGGTCGTAACCAGGAATACCCATGTAAGGAGGAGTCCGTGGAAAGCAAGATAATCCACAGCATGATATCTGAAATATGCTGGAATGAATTGATTGGCCTTTAAGGTGCCACCACAATGTTATTTTTATTTTTATTTTTCTGGAACTTAATATTCCTTGAAAATTCAGATGTCTCACAGGCATCCCATTGCTTCTCTCTGAGGTACCTGGAAGCGATCTGTGCAACCCGACTCACACAGAAATGATTAGTTTTGGGGGGGCCACAAGACTTCACTCTTTCAGATCATAGAAGGCGGGTGTTATTTTTAAAAAAAGGATTTGATCTCTGTTGGTCTTGGCATCCTCAAAGCATTGCTTCAGCCCAAATGGCAGCGAGCGAGTTGGGTAGCCAGAGGCGATCTTGTCTTTCCGACTCTCTCGCCTCTGCTCCCTCGTGCGTCTCTTCTTAGGGTGATGTTCTCAGGGTCGAGCCGATTGGCCTCGCTTCCTTCCTTTCTTGGCTCTCTAAGGAGCAGGCACTCTTTTACTCCTCCCCGTGAGCCTTCTAGGGCATGCCTCCGTGGCGCCAGGGTTAGAGGGCTGAGGTTTTTCTCTCTGTGGTGTAATTTTCTGGGTGAGCATCTGCGCGCCCTCAGAGGGCCGGAAAGGCAGGCGTCTGATGGCACTGGAAGGGGTGGCCTTGCAGGGAGCAAAATCTTTTCAATCTGCACTTCCGTCCATCGGGAAGGACTCCAGCCCAGCCCCCAAAGAAGGAGTCCTGCCGCTGGACCAAAATGTTCCCACTCAGGCAGAGATCTGGAACGAGCAAAGGAGTGCTCACACCTGCACATTGTGTGTTCGCCACGAAACGGCTTGTGCTGGACTGTGCCACACAGGTGGTCCAAAATGCGAGCAATGTACCCATGGGACCACGCCCTGAGCTGTTCGATTTTAACGGCTTCTCCTCTTTTATACTTTGGAGACTAATAGCCGGTTTAGCTACACAGCCCTTCCTCTCCCGCTGGGAGAAAACCTCACTGTTTCTTCTCACACGCCTCGTCTACTTTCACAACAGTTGTTCTGTTCTGTTCCGTTCCGTTCTGCTTTCGTTAGCCAGTTAATCACTTTGGGGCTGTGACCTGCATTCCCCAGCATGCCGTGTTCTGGACGGGCTCCTTTTTCAGATCACCTTCCCTCCCATGCCTTCCTGAGAGACGGCAGCTTCTCGCCTCTCCTCCTTTCACGCCAAGGCCCCAGCCCCTGCCCCCTCGTCTCCCTTCTTGTGTGGCAGCAGAGGCGCAGCTGCCCTTTCGTGGTGCGGGTGGCCGGGGCCTCTGACTGGAGTTAGGGGACCATCCCATCTCACAGCCCTCACTAGGCTACATTTCACCTGTACCTGTTCTGAGGCCATATCTGCCAGCGTGACCTGAAGGCCTTAGGAATGGACCTCAACAGATGGGAAACCCTGACCTCTGAGCGCTCAGCCTGGAGGCAGGTGGTGGGTGCATCATGGCCTCTCCCAGTTTGAAGAGACCCTTGTCCAGCAGGCCGAGGCTGAGAGGTTGTCCTGAAAGCAGCCAAACCAGGGAGCTGGACATGGGACAGATTGTATTTGTCTTCAGTGTGGAAGGGATTGTGTCACTCTCAAATTGGCCTTCTCAGCCACACTAGACGCTGTTCCAAGTCCTCCATACAGAGTAGGTGACCATCGTCTCTCTAGACGGAAGGATGCCTACACATTCCAAGGCCAGCAAGCCGCCCCCTCCGCCTTGCACCAGAAGCGTCTTCCAAAGTCAGAAGAACCACAGCCTGCCTGCCTGCCTGCAACCGCAGGAGATGCTTCCCAGCTCATCTCAACATGGCCACGCCAGGGAGAGGCAGCCCCCAGGCTTTCTCTCCTGCCTGAGCAGGGCTGGCAGCTGTT